AAATTGACCTGTCCGAGCATTTTTTCGAAAAAACCAACTACTTCCAATATAATGAATTTATTCCTTTCATTTGAACCATACTGTATATTCGTTTTCAAATAAAGTGCCACACTTTACAATAGGTAACACTTTTTTTATCAAAAGTGGCGCAATGAATAGTTACACTACTGAATTCTCCTTAACATTACCTAAAATCGACCTGTCCGGGCGTTTTTTAACATTCACGATATTAATACCCAAACCCTCATCTAGTTTTCGTTGGACCACCTTGTATAATTGTTGTATGCTTATATTAAATCATTCTTCTGGGATAAGCTCCTTCAGCTTATCATCCCAGGATTATAATAAAAACAAAACTAAATGTAAATTAAAACTATCACCACCCATCACACACCTGCCGATAAAAGAGGAGCACCTCTTGGCGACGTTGTCAACTAAATTAAATCTGTAGGCTAGCTCCACGAGCTAGGAGGTGCCTACCAATTTAGGAGGATGCACAATGGGCCTAGTGAGGCCGTGGGGTAACCCACCCTCCACACGTTACAGATAGAAATCACTCACATCGGTATAAATCTCGAATTTCCCTCTCGTCTATCATCTAACCTATTCCTATAAATTTATCTAGCATTATCCCTATTCATGTAATATTTTACTAGTTATTTTTTATTTTTATAAATTTCTCTCTTCCCCTCCCTCTCTTTCCCACCCTCTATCCCTCTCCACTATCTCTCTCCCCCTACCACCAACCCTCTCTCGCCCTCCCTCCCATCCCCCTACTTAATCTTCTCCTCCTTTTAAACTTCATCTGTTTTACAGATACATTTCTTCCCTGACATTCTTTTTAGTTAGTTGCGAGACTCTTTATTTGTGTCCCCTTTCAGTTCATCTATTTCTGGCATCAACTTTGCCTTGGTTTTATCCAATTTACTATTTATGCTCTCTATCTTGTTACCAATGTCTATCCTTACTTTTCCTATTTTCTTAGTTATATCTTATATTTTCACTCATTACTCACTTCCTTTGATCTCATGATCATTTCCATCATAATCCTCATTTTTGATCATTTTTTTTCCTACCTTCTGCTGTTCTACAATACTATTCAACCGATTATCCTCTGACCTCTGATTCCCCTACATCAGGCCTGCACAACTCAGATTTTCAAAGGGCCCGTTCAAAAAATGTAAGTGTACGAGGACCAAGAGAGGCCTTTGCTTATAAATTTATAAAGCAGGTGGTCGAGGTGGTTTGTTCAGATTCTAAAAAAAAGGTCCTGAGCTTATAATGAACCAGGTCCTTCTATCGAGCTCCTAAAAAAGGCAATTAATACCTAAATGCAATTTTGTTACTGAAAAATGTATAGTTTGGCCCGCCTAGGGCCAAACTGGTAAACGGACAAAGGGCCATAAAAACGAAAATGGCGGGCCGCATGCGGACCCTATGTTGTGCAGGCCTGCTCTACATCTTCGAATAGTCATCTTGTGATGCTCTTATTTTTTTTTTGTGTGTCATCGGCATCGACTGCCAAGGTCATTAGCCTCGTGTTCTGTGTAGGCTTTGTTACTGTTTCCAGCGCCACTTTAGGAACAGCACGGTTAATTAGAACCCAACAGTGAATGGTCGAGTTCTTATTAAATGTATTCTCCACAAGCTCCTTCAGCTTGATATCCCAGGATCATCATAATATAAACAAATATTTTACAAACTTCCCAACTAAAAGCACAAGATCAGTAGTCTGTTTTTTAATGTCTGGCACCCAATAACCACTAGTTATTTTCAATTGCATATACTATATTTAGCGACCATGCACAACTGAACAACCTTTAGTAAAAGAAGACAATTCTCTTAAGAGTCTAAGACATCCTTGAAATATGACATATATTTCATATTATGAACAATTTGAAAAACCTATTGCTGAAAAAATATTGATTAAACAACCACACGGTGTTTCACTAATTTCATGCAATTTTGTTTATTACAGGTCCAAACAGAACTTGTGCTACTAACCCAAAAGAAAAACAAATTGTTAGCAGCTAAAGAAGCGAACGAGAGGACTAAACGAAACTTAAAAGAATTACAAGAAGAAAAACAGTCTTTGCAGTTAGCTAGAGATCTGTTAAGTCAACAAAAGGAAAGGTCAACGGCACCTACAGGCAATTCTTCGAGAAATTCAGGAGAAGGGTGGGTTATAATACCACGAGAAAACCAAAGTTAAACCAAATTCCAACATGTTTCGTAGTTTTCTTCTTTTAAGATCTTTTTTTATCGATTTTGAGTGTTATTTCTGTTTATTCCTAGAACGTATATAATATAAAATAGCGTAAATCTATTATAATTAGAATGTTTGGTGTACACGTTTGTTATGTTTATCATTAATCAAATGAATTTCATTATAGATAAACAACAACCGTTTTTTGAAATTCCATTTCTATCTTTGCAAACTAATTTTAATTTTTTTTTGTTTTGAAATAATTAGCCTTTGTCAAAATACTTTATTTTATTTTGCAATCATATAGAAATTACATAATTAAACATATTTATAGTTGAGACAATTATCAGTTATTTTGTCATTTTTAAATTATTATTATTATTATCTGTAGATTTAAAATTTTTACATTTCAAGAAGAAAATTATCGCATTCTCGATAGAATCAAAATAGGTAACTGTTTATCCTTTTCCTATATTTTAAGTCTGAAAAATGATCTTTTATTATATAAAAGAATAGTGCCTTTTTTACTGGAGTTTTTAAGAAATTGTACATTTGTTAAATTTTAGCATAAAAGAAATAACTAAAAAAACGTATTTTTAGGCTCACTAATTTTATTTACTTTTCTTTATATTTTTATTGTTATTTCACCTAATATGTGTTAAAGATATTGTATTTTAATAAAAAGTGATGTATATATGTATATTATTACCTTAGTTATATTTTTTAATCCCCTAATTTTAATCCTCTATAAAACTAGCAATGTATTTGCAGCATGCGTATTAAGAAATCAAAATAAACCTACTCGGCTTCTACGAATTCTACCAATACATCTCTAATATACTGGGATGTCAGAAAAGCTACATTCAAATACTTTTTAACTTTAACATGTGGATATAATTTTCATCGGACCATTTAGTGGCTCTCAGATTTTTAGTTTAGCAACATTGAACATTTCTCATTGAAATGCACCAAATGCCTGCCTACAAATAATAGTGGATCAATTTAATAAATTTATTTATACTGCAAAACAGAATGTAAACCTTTAGCATGTAACATTAAAAGTTATTACAACAAATTGTTTTGATTAAGAATAGTTTTTTTAAATGTGTTTATTAGCTGATTACAAAAAGTGGAACATCACTTTTTTGCTGGCTATTTGTAAATGGGCAGACGGGAACAACATGTACTATGTTCCGGTGGTGGTCATGTGACCTGTGAAATTCAAAGTAAGGTTGCACATCGATTAATTTTTTTTTCTGCTGGTAATGAAATATACATGCAGTGGCGGTCCCTCAATAGTGCACTTCCAAATTGTTTCCAATAAAGTACAAAAATGTGTGTTCCATTTCAATTGTTTGGAAAAAGCAATGGTTGGGCCTAAATACGAAAATAGCAAGATTTGTCGAATTAGGTTATAGAATATCTGCTTTAAAATGCCTTTTCTACAAGATGTGCTACAAGTGAAATATCCTCCCATTGAAAAAAAATCGTGTCAATCTACATTTTGACATATTTAAAATCAATTTATATCCAAAACTGAAGCTCTCTTAGTGCTCGACAAACTGACTTTTAGAGAATTAAATATCTATTTCTTTGCAAAATATCCGGCCTGGTAGCTTTTATTGGTACATCCTGTATGCTTCCAGACGTCGATTTCAAATTAAAAAGTATGGTGGTGCTAATTTCTGTATAGGAATTCCCCCCACGTGACCAAATTTTTTTCAACGAAATTTGGGCTATATCAAACGCGGTTTTCTAAATCTAAGATGATGTTACAAGCATTTTTTTGTGTTTGCGAAAAGGTTGATATGCAATAAAGTTTTAGCCTGATGAAAAGAGAGAAATAATTATAAAATTGGAACCAAAAGTCCAGAAGTGGTTTAATTATTCTCAAAATATTTTTGTCACTCAACTAAGCCTTTGCAAGCATTTTTTATTCAGTAGTTCACCCCATTCAACCTTTTATTCGCCACAGGTTTTCGAGATCAACTCTTATTTGAGTCATACAAACATTTTTTTTGAGCAATTTTCAACTTTTGGTTCTAATTTTAGACATATTTCAAAAAAACATCACTTTTCGTCAGGTTACATTTTTTTTGCATATAAACCCCTTTTAAGCTGTATCCCGAATTTCGTTGAAAAAGTAAATAATTGGTCACATGGCCAGAATCCCTACACCGGAAGTAGCAAAACCAGACAATAGAAATGCTTGAAAAGCGATAAGGACCTGTTTTCATTTGTACCAAATTTTATTTATGTATCAAGGAGCAATTGCCCAATTAAAATACAAGTTTAATAATAGGGAAAATTTAAAACCTAACCTCTACTTAGAAAATGTTGAAACAAAGAAACACAAATTAACATGAACCTAAACAAGAAAAAATTAAATATTAAAAAAAAAACAAGATAACAATTGTAAATAAGTTAAATTAAATTATCTTGATACACATGATTTAAGCTAGGATTTAAAGACTTTTATTATCAAAGCAGTCCAACCTATCAGAATACTGATTAGCAAATCTACCCGACTTTGATAGAAAAGAATTATAATATTCAGTAAATAAATAACATTTAAATTAAAAGTTGTTTTAACCTAAAAGTTACAAACTTATTAACCCATTGTATCCAATTAGTAAACGTGCGGCTTAGCTCTTTTCACCACCAATACGATGAATCCTAAATTTATACCATTCAAGGGAAAGCCATTTTACATAAGCCAAATTTGGAATAATTCCTAATAGGGCGTCCATTATTGCATCTTCATAGTATTAGAAAGGAATGTTTCAAATCAATATCAAAAATTGTTTAATGTCAATTTTAATTGTAATCAATAAATATAAAAAAGCCGAAAAATGTACAAATGTCTGATAAAATACTAAATAGGTAAAGTATTTCCAGATGATCTACTAAACATTTTAGACATTATTGAAATACCAGCTGTTCCACCTGGTATATTTGCTAACACAGTCCACACTAAAGAAATAATTTGACAAACAGCGAAAAGCACTGTAAAAGGGGTACTTTGAAGATGTAATGCGCAGTAAAGTGTAGCCACTAAAGTTCCTCCATATGTTATAGTTACCAACAGTCTTTCTTTTGCAAACATATGCTTCAGGAATGCCAATGGGCCCCACAAAAAGAAGAAACTGCAAAAAATTATTACCATTATTCAAAAAAATAAGTAGACATAATTATTGGCTTACCTTAATATAAAGAAAGTGCTACCAAGTGTAAATAATAAAGCAAACTTCCTAGCTTTAAATAAAAGAACAGGAATATACATTAGTGATATTGAAAAACACAATAACCCCAATCCAACACAAACTGCAAATAATACCATTCTCTGCAGTCGTGACTAAAAATTAATACCATATATTATTTAAATTTTCTTTTAGCCCCTAAACATATTTACCAGGCTTGGACAATATTCCTTTTTAGTCTCCTGAAACCAAGTATCCTCTTGTTGAGTTTGTTCTTTCCTAAACCATCCAGATACATTTGGCGTTTGTATAGTTGGTATTTGCAATTTGAACGATTTCTTTTGATCACTCTGTAAGAGTAAATACTCATCCAAATCTTTCTTTAAGTCAACCATTTCTTAATTATTGAAAAAAAGCCTCCACTTATCTGTTTACATCATCTTTTTGACAACACAACAATTAGGTTATGTAAATTATTTTGACGTTTTGAATTATTAATTTACTGCATACTATATAAATAAAAGTCTAAGAGTTGTATTGGTTACTACATAAAGACATAAAATAAAAGATAATTGTTTGACCGAACAGTGCAAAATCTTCTTAGAATCGAAGAAGAATTTTGATAAGTTTTAAAATGACAAATTGTCAAGATAGAAATTTTACATTCCCTTTTATGGCAAACATAACCGCTAAGCTACGGTTTAGTGATTAAGATAAAAGGAAGTGTTACAAAAACTGTAACTATTGTGCCAAAATCTTGCTAGTAACAGTACTTAGTAATTTCCAAATATTCAACATATTAGGAATTTTAATTTGGTTAAATTTTAACTAATTTTGAAAGTACACCGCCCGGAAAAAATGTCATACGCCTCAAGTAAGTGGTTTTTTTTATTATTTTTAATATCCAACACTTATGAAAGTAGTTTATTTAAAATATGCACTTTTTTATTTTAGAAAGCATTTATGCCGCTTTACCCAGGACCCAAAGGGGTCAACCTTTAGTTTTGGGTGGAGATCCAAAAGGAAAAAATTTTCTATATACCAACGGAAATTCCGTTATTATCAGAAATATTGAGGTAAATAATTAAATATTATATTTTCCTAGAATTTACAATAATTATATTGTTTCTCTAGACTCCCTCTATTTCTGATGTCTATACTGAACACTCTTGCCAAGTAAATGTTGCTAAATATTCTCCTAGTGGTTTCTACATTGCTTCTGGAGGTAAGAAACAGTACAAATATGTATAATTTATATGTCCAATTTATTTACATAGTTGCAATAAAAATGGGAATTAAAAAAAATACCTAATATTAATATTAAAATTATCCAAAACATAAAAAATAATTGTAATATGAATAACAAAGTAATATTTAATCATTTTATTTTAAAATCAATTTGTAAAATATATTAATTTTGTCCAAAAATAAAAATAATAGACCTAAAAATTATTGCTTTAAATAAAATTCTTTGCAATATAATGTAGTTTTTGACACTATAATATTTTATAACTTTTGTAATTTATACTATAGGTAATTAAAATATATTCTTATCATCAAATTTTATGGACTCTACTTTTGCCTTAAAAATTATTGCATATATTCAGTTGCATACATTTTGTATGTGTATGTTATTTTCAAAATATACATAAATTATAGCATTATTAAAATAGAATTTGATTACAAATTTGGCTTTATTCCAAACATTTGTTGTTTAGCTATAACTCTGGATTATGTGTCTTATTACAAAATAATATGTAGTATGTGTGAACACATATCTAATTTTCTTCTGTATTTTTATTATAATGCTTACAAAAATAAGTGTAGAAAAATTTTTTTATTTATTATACAAGGTGTTTCAGTTTTTTTGAGCATTTTAAAACTATAGAACTTTTAAAATTTAGTACAAAAAGGTTATAAAAATAGGTTAGCAAATAATTCTTAGTTTACTACTTAGATACTTTCTTTAATAACCTAGTTTTCCTCTGTATTTTTATTATAATGCTTAGAAGTCTTAGAAAAATAAATATAGAAAAAAATATGATTTATTATACGGAGTGTTTCAATTTTTTGTAACACTCCATAGAACTTTACAATTTGGTAAAAAAGTTTATATATACTGTCATGGGAACACCTAAGCCGTCCCTGTAGATCGCGACCTTCAACCTGCCACTTGACTCATGGTCGAAACACCGCAGTATAGAGACAAACGCTCCACTTCTCAAACATATCAGAAAAAGCAATACGTGCCGTTGAGTCATAGAGATGGAATTCTAGGACATTCCACATCATCTAGAAACTTCTCATACAGAGTTGGACTTGGTATAAATAGCGTGACTTATCGACGGACGAGTAGTTTAGAATAAAGTATTGGACTGAAAAGATAAATTTTAATAAATAAATTAGAATTGTGAGTTAGTGCCTAAGTATTATATGACTTAATTAGTACGTCATAAACTGTAAGAGGGTGTTATAAATAAATTAAATAAACGTCACAATACATAGATCGGCAAATGATTAGATAAAAAATTCTGAAACAAATCTCCGTACGAATTATTAAGACCATCCCCGAACCCCAAAGATGAAAACACATACTTAAAGATTTGAAAAACGCGTCAGACATCTTTGTTCTGTACACAAATGCCCTACCTCTAGACCATTGTGACATTGACGGTCAATATTTCTAGCCGACAGTTTGATTCGGGCCAAGCGCCGTTTCAGGTTCGTTCACAAATATTCAAATACCTCTATACAGCATCGGTGTATCTGAGAAATGCATTGAGTCCATATCTTCGTCTGCAGTTAAGTTTTCAATGTACAATAAGAGACGTAAATCTATGTATGCAAATTGTAATTTAATATCGAGAAATCGAAATCCGAAAAATCGGTATAGCTGAAAAATAAGTGGCTAAAATAATTTGAAAATTCTGAAACAAATCTCAAAAATCCCCCTACGAATTATTAAGGCCATCCCCGAACCCCAAGGTGAAAACACATACTTGGAGATTTAAAAAAAAGCCTGTCAGCGCTGGGACTTGAACCCAGACATCTTTGGTCTGTACACAAATGCCCCATCTCTAGACCATCGGGACATGGGCTCAGTATGCAATAATGCATTTCTCATATTCGCTCAGTGTGAAGTCATGGTAGGGGAAGCAAAAGCGATACTAGCGCTAGCTGCGGATAATCCGTGCATTTTAGGGCGATATTTTGTAATTTTAGCATATCAAATACATGTATACATTTTACTTTTTTTTTTTTTTTTCAAAAATGTAGGTAAATACAATAAGCAACCGGAGTTGTAAAAATTCTAGCAAAAAAAAACAGTGTAAATTATAAAAAATTTCAGTAGCAAGGTGGAAATTAAAGAACTAAATGGATATGTGTACAATAAGAAGAAAAATTACCTCTATTTTTGTAATAATAACAGTAATACTGAAAATAGTAGACATCAGAAAATTGAAAGGTTTTAAATAAACAATAAATATCATTTCACGATGTTCTTCAACATCCCTTTAATCTTAAATGTTCATGCAGTAAAAACTAGATTTCTGCCTTTGATTATTGTATGTGGCTGGAATGTAATTTTGTGACTTACTGATAGAAAACCAGTTTTATTCATTCATTCTGTTTTCTTTCGAACAAAATTGAAAATATAAATAAGAATCCTTCTGTTTATACATTTTAACTTCACGCTAATTATTTCAAGATATTTTTTTATTTTGACAATAGGATAATTCTTCAAAGACAACTTATTAGACTTAGGCAACTTCTCATACATTTTCCCATAAATACTGTTGCCTGTCTTTATTTTATTGATTTTTATTGAATATACTTAATTTTTTTGATTTACGCGATAAAAATATATAATAAATTAATGTTTTACTTGTTTTACAAACCCATATACTTTTATTAAAACTAACATATACTTTTTAATTGTGAATTCTATTAAAAATTGTATTGTCAGTATAGGCAGAAATAGTCCATTAGTACAAAAGTGAATTGACGCTGCTGTCGCGCACGGAGGAAATACACCGATGCTGTATAGAGGTATTTAAAGATTTAAGAAACCTGAAACAGCGCTTGGTCCGAATTATATTAAACTGCCGGCTAGGAATCTCGTCAGTCAATGTTACATGTTGCGATGGTCTAGAGGTAGGGCATTTGTGTACAGAATAAAGATGTCTTGGTTCGAATCCCAGCGCTGACAAGCTTTTCTTTTCAAATCTCCAAGTATATGTTTCACCTTTGTGGTTTGGTGATGGTCTTAATAATTCACAAGGGATATTTTTGAGATTTGTTTCCAAATTTTTAAATTATTTCAGCCACTTTTTAAATGTGCTAAACATTATTAAATGGATTGCATTGTAAGTTGGTATAGGTTTTTTGTATGTACAAGACTATTGTCTACACCATTTTACTATAGCTACTAGGGGGCGCTCTGTATTTTACTTTTTATGGATTAAGACGCTTATAAATTTTCTTAGTATTCTTTATGACTTGTTTAATAAAAAAAATCTTATTTCCTGTGCGTTTATAAACAAAAAGGTATTCCTTTCAAAAGTTGACTGTTTTGGAGATACTTGTCTTTTTATTGTTTAATGCAGTCTGCAGTGACAGTTGCTTAAACAAGAGATGAACTTATTAATAGGATTAGGTATGCCTGTATGCATTTGCGGACCTACTTTTGTACACACTTTTTGTATTAATTTTGAAAGTAAAAAGTTCTATGGAGTGTTACAAAACTGAAACAACCTATATAACAAAACAAGTCTTATTATACTTTTCACACAGTAGTCTGCAAAGAGTATTATAGGTTTACTTTTAAGAAACTAAAATTTTCAATATTCATCCAAATTTTAAAAAATTTGTACAAAAATCCTTCTCAACAAATTTTAAACAACTTTTAAAAATGTCCTTCCGATGTCACGTTTTTTGTCTGCACGATAAGTCAAAAACTAAAAATTATATGAACTCAAATTTTTCAGGAAAAATCAATCTCTACAATGGAACGAATCCTATTCATTTTTAAAAAAATTGATTAAAAATGGGGAGGTTGAAATTAAAAAAAAAAAAAATCATAAATCAACAACAAAAAGCAATATCAACATGACATTTTTATTAAAAAACAAGCGCTATAAAAGGAAAAGCTTATTGATTTTGCAAAATCCTATAAAAAATGGAGGAGTTAAGGGGGGGGGGTTGAAACTTAAAAAAATCATGAAAGTGTGGAATATCTAATATAGTTATTTTATAGGTTCAAATTGTTACACCCTGTAAATTTAATTTCTTATCTTGTAGAGACATTTTTATATTTTGTAAAATATCAGTTGGAATTAAATGGTTGTAGAATCAACATATTGTGTTTAATTCATAGACCATAATTAGTTAGTTGCAATCACCCTCAAATTGGGGTTAAATATATTGCAGAAAGAAAATCAAAAAACAATATCAACTTGAAATTTTCAGGAAAAATTAAGCTCTACAATGGGACAAAGCCTATTGATTTTTAAAAAATTGATTAAAAATGGGAAGGTAAAGGGGGGTTAAAATTAAAAAAAAAAATTAAAAACGAAAACGGATATAAACTTGAATTCTTCCAGAAAAATAAAGCTTTTATAGGGGAGATGAAGCCTATTGATTCTGAAAAAAATCCGATTAAAAATGGGGGTTAAAAAGGAGGTTTGTTTAACTGTGAAGAGTATCATATAGAATGCCCAGCATTATATATCTTCATTCTAGTTTTTTCCCTATAATTCATTGAACTTTTAAATAAAAATTTTTGTTTCTGTCCAAACACTATTTCTATTAATAAATGTTATTTTAAACAAATTGTAATTGTAAATTGCTGCGATAGCTCCATTATTTAGTAGCTCTGGAATAAGAAATTATTAGGTTTCAGATTATTTAAAAATGTGGCTTTTTATCAAGCCAAAAGTATATTGTATAAAATTTTAATTATTCCAAAGATATTTAAATGAAAATGTAGAAGGTGCTTGAATCAATAAAGCTTTAAGAATCTACGTATTATATATTAACCCTAACTTATGTAATGTGTTGTGGTGGGTCTGCCTCTCATGAGTACTAAATGCACGATTTTTTAATTAAAATAAAATTTATATTTTATTTTGTCAATTTAACTCGCTTGTGTAGTGAAAACAATATATTTTACTTTTATAAAATAGGAACTGGATAAAAAAACTTCATTATAAATGCATGCAATAATTTTTATTTACTTATAAAATGAAATAGATATTCATTTTTGGTTATTTTATTATTTTTCAGATTTAATGGCAATTTTTTTCTACATTGTTTTCTTCTTGGCATTTTTGACAGTTTTTACGTTCAATCACCCATAAACTAGGGGTACCTGACATAACTAATGACTATTTGCAATGCAATAAAAATAGGGTGGTTCATAAAATTTAGGCAAACTATTTTTAGAAGATGCCTCTGAGATGTCGTAGAACTACAATGTCATAACAATAATAGTTTAAAAAATATATATATACACCAGACTAACAAAGGATTAACAAAAACCCTAAATTAAAAAAAAAAACAGATGTGGCTAGAGCAAGGAAATGCTTCTTGCTTCTTCACTGAAACATAAGTTTAATAAATTAGGTTATTATACAAGTTTAATGATCAATCTTTTGAGTATTTTCTATTCAGTTTTGGATAAATTTTCTTGTTGATAAATTTACTCCTACTTGTATTTATATTTATGCTGATATGTTTAATTATAACAAAACAAAACTTCATAAATAATTATCAGGCCCTCTGAATTACCTGATAATTAATAATAAAGAATTAACTTTCATTTATGTTGTTATACATAAACATTTAAATTTTAAACCTAAAAAAATTAATTTATACAAAAATTGATAATTCATTTTATATCAGTGGTAGTTTATTTAAAACAAATATACAGTTCGTTAACACAGCCATACTGCAAAATATAGATGAGACGCTTAATTTTATTTGGCCCTGAGAAGTATAAAAAGAGCAATAATAGGATATTGCATGTATATTGCGATCCGCCCGTCGGCGATGTATATTCTGTCTATCTATTAAATAGAATTGTGTTTCTTTGCTGTTCTTCTGGACTCAGAATGGCAGAGGTAACACATTGTATTTATTTTAATATTGTACTTCTAAATTATTGTTATACTAAGCGTAATGAATTCAGTTGTTAATTTTAGATTATTCTACCATTGTTTAGAATCCTCAATATTAAATTTATAATAATCAATTAGAAAGGTAACAAAAGAAACTTGTAAGGTACTGTTCTTTTAGATTGAATGTTCAATATGATTATTTGTAAAATTTAAAATTAATTAATATTGATCAATATTGGAGAAAAAATGAATGTTAGATCTCTCTTTTATGTATAATATAAATAATAGAATTTACAATTATCCCAACGTTCTGAAGCAAATTTATCTCAGAATTCCTTCTAGACTTCCCAGATCAAATGATTAATTTTTTGTCCCTATGCATTCTACAAACTATGACAAATATTACCAAAACACTTAACATTGTGCAAACATTGATGTTTTCAATAACTGCCATAATAAATTTTGACATTAAATACAAAAATATAATTTTTTACAACTATATTCTAATCATGTCATGTGATATATTTGTGTGGACAGTTTTTTATATATATATTTTTAAATTTAAGTGATACATGCACAATTTAAATTTAATTCATTTAGTATGTAATTAACAAAGTAATGTGGTCTTCCTGTCAATAAATTAAAGACTCGTTTCAGACTCAGTATTCTTTTTAACAGAAGAATGTAATAATTTATGCAGGCGCAGGCTTTAAATTACAGTCTGTTTTCACAATTCTCTAACAGGCCCAGAGCTTACTCTATGCAGGTCATGTCTAATAATACTAATAATATAATAAGTACCTAAAATAATAAATAAAAAATGCCAGAATATACATTAAACAATGAGTTAAAATGACTGAAATTTTAATAAATTTAGGAATAATCAAATTGATCCCTGTATTTCTGTAGATTTTATAGTTTTCCATATTCTATTAACACATAAATGACAAAAGAGTTAATCAACTTCCTTTATAGTAAAATGTACTTTCAGACCAATCTGGAAAAGTAAGAATTTGGGACACAGTTAACAAGGAACACATCTTGAAGAATGAATTCCATCCAATTGGAGGACCAATCAAGGATATCGCGTGGTCGCCTGACAATCAAAGAATGGTCGTTGTTGGTGAAGGACGTGAACGTTTCGGTCATGTTTTCATGTCTGAAACTGGTACGTCTGTAGGAGAAATATCAGGACAATCGAAACCTATCAATTCGTGTGATTTCCGGCCAAGCAGGCCTTTTAGGGTAATAACAGGATCTGAAGATAATACTATTGCTGTTTTTGAAGGACCACCATTCAAGTTCAAGATGACTAAACAAGTAAGTTTTTAAAAAACATTTTATGCTGCCATTCCTGGACCATCCTTTTGCAAAGATAAACATTTAACCCAATTGGATTTTCCCAATTTAGTTTTTTCTGCCTTGAGAATAAGTCATATAAAATTTTATATCCTAATTATATTAACCCTCGGGCGGGCGGGCTTCGCAAAATAATATTAGCGGGTGCGTAATACAAAATTCTTTGGTTGTCAAATGTTTTTTTAATTTATATTATCCCCAGAGCAAAAGAAATAAATTTTAATTTGTTTTGTTGCAAAAAATACACTACTCAAAACAATTGTACCAAAGTAGTATTCGTGCCAAAGTAATAGATATTTTTTCGTGCCAAAGTAATAGATTTTTTTTTGTGCAGATATGAATGTTTTTGTATTTTGTTTTTATTTGTTGTTTTTTTTTGCCTTCTGCGATATGCGATGGCTTTTATTTGATCAATTGACAGTAAAGTTTTGCAAAAAAACGGTTATTTTTCAAATCAGATATGAACAAAAACAATAGATGTGTTACTAGGCATTTAAAAAAATCTGTATACAATCCAATCTGAATTGCGCAGATTTTAAAAGTTACCCAATTGTCAATAAGTAGAGTGGCAAGAAGACGGGCCATCAAGAGGTCCTAGTCCTGGTAAATGCAAAATAAATAAGCATTTTTCAAAAATATGCGATAAATGTTGTAGTGTAATATAGCTAGAAAAAAAACAGAATTAATTTAATTACATGGCGGGGCGCGACGCGACATGGAATGCTGTAAACTAAAAATCTATTACTTCAACGTCTCAGTGACAACTGACGAAAATATAATAGGTTGCCAAATATAGCTAGACGGAAAATGAGTTACAATTAACAATTTTTGTGGAATCTCTAAATTATTGAAAAAGCGGCACACAGTTCCAATAGCGGGCCCGCACGACGGTTAAAATATTAGTTTTACAGGAATCTCAAAGAAATGTTTCTATTTTTAGTTTTAAACCTGTAAGCATATTTAAAAGTTAACAGGTTTTGATCATTTCTGTTAAAGTAGGTAATAAATATTCATAATTTGGCCTTGTTATTATTAAAAAAAAAAAAGCTTGGAAATAATAAATGTGTAATATAATATATAACTGCTGATATACCAAAATTAGACATTCAGAAACAATTTGTGTTCTTAGAAATTTATGTTAGCACATTTTTTATTGTATTGTACTTAATTATTTTCTTATCTATAATTGGATCATAAAATAATTTTCTCCTTAACCTGTATTTCTCATAAAAACGGAGACAAATTGCTTAAGAGAAAAAGATAAATTATTGAGATTAAATTAATTAAATTTTTTCAAGATATAAAATTTAAATTTGTCTATCTGGCTTTATCACGTTACTGAATATTGCCTACATAATTTTGACAAACATTTTACATCTTAGGAAAAATATTAATAAAATGTATGAAAATAAAATTGTAGTTAGAAAGGACAGCAAAATAGCTTTTCATCAAATCTCATACATTTTTGTTATATAGGGCAAATCTTAAGTTGATATTTTTTTACTGCCACTCTACCTCTGGACAATGGTCAAAAATGCCTAGCACTACAATTGCACTCGAAAAGTACCTTAGGAATGTAAATTTTAACTTTTAAAATTTTGACTCAAAATATTTATTACACTCTTCGTTTTTAATTTTAATTTAATAATAAATAACAAACCCATTATAAATCTCTTCACAAAAATTATTATTTTTTTAGGATCACACTCGATTCGTTCAAGCAGTCAGGTACTCACCTTCAGGCAGCCTATTCGCTTCTGCTGGCTTTGATGGCAAGATCTACCTTTACGATGGTACTTCATCTGACCTAGTTGGTGAAATTGGTAGTCCTGCTCATGCGGGTGGTGTATATGGGGTAGCCTGGAGCCCAGATGGTAAGCAGCTCTTATCTGCTAGTGGAGACAAAACTGCCAAACTTTGGGATGTTGAGACTAGACAAGTGGTGTCTGAATTCGTATTGGGAAATTCTGTGGAAGATCAGCAAGTAAGCACTGAATATGTTTCTATAAATTAAGGAAAATTATTTAGAATGGAGGGTTGTAGGTGTGTACACAATGATTGATACGGAATCAAATGAAATGAGTGGGTATTTAAAGTGTGTAGTGATTGAGCATGTGCTTGTTTGTGTTGACTTATGTCTGTTTCTGCTCTTTTCATTCAGTATTGAACAGAAAAAAGGTATTTATGGTAACAATGTCGTTGGATATCAGAATATAATTTATGTCATCATATTTCATTGCAAAAATTGAAAAAATAAAATAAAAGTTCTTATATATTATCAAAAATAAAGTAATCTAGACTGCTAGGGAGTTTTAATAATCTGTATTTGCATCTCTTGCCTCAATGCAAGCATGAATTCGTCGTTTTTACAATAACATTTATCACCCTAGAATTTTAGATACCTCCAATTTTTCTGATGCTTCGCCTCCTTACCTTGATGCTACAATATCCACAGAGAAATATATTATATAGTACAAAATTCATACAAACATAATAAATCTCCTGTTACTGACGGTATTTCTTATGAGTATTTCAAAAATCTCCCCAATAATTGGATACTATATCTTCCACTCCTATTTAACAATATTCTTGATTCTGGCATCATACCCTGTAAGTGGACTATGCTACATAAAAAATGCCCTTCTGATGATCCTTCAAATTACCGGTAATTAACTTTAGTAAACTGTGCTGCTAAAATGTTCACACATATTATTCTGAGCAGGTTGGTTAATCAAGGGTAATATAATGTTAAAGCAATATTGTTCAAGTTCCAGATTGTAAAACAGGATACAAATCAAATGTAAAACTAAAGAAAACACAAGGAGAAATCTTTTGAATGTCTTTTTAAAGCTTCTGATTTAAGTAAAATAATGTATTTATGTCTAAATATAATATTTATTATAAACTAATCACAATATGTATCTTACGAAGTGTAGTTTATTTTATTATAAGTTTCTATAATATAAAATTTTACAGTTATAGATGCTGACTTACAAACAACAATAATTAACTGTATTTTATTTTACTCTTAAAACTATAGGTACATTGGTTCAATTCAAAAAAAAAATTGCCACAAAATTGTACTTATCAAATTTCAGCAATTAAGAAACCTTTTCGAATTTGGTCATACATTTGTATTTTAAGATAAAATCAAATAATTTATCCATTAAAACATGCAAGACTTATTTAGAAATAAATACAACAGTATGTTCTGTGATTTATTTAGCTGTAAACAAGTTTATTTTTATTATTTTGACAAAATTATGTATAATTTCCATAAAGCCATGTATTTTGAACAATGTATGTAGTACCAGCGCCCATGCGGTTAATTATAGAAGCTCAATTCGTCTCCTTATCTCTAGTCTTCATAGTTTTCAATCCCACTTTTCTTCTAAATGCTTAAGTAATTAAAAGGATGAATCAATGTTTTCTTGGTAACATAAACACTATTATTAAATTGTTTCAGTGTAAATAAAATTGAAAATTTCGATGAGTTGTTATAGTCCATTATAATTATCTAGCTGTGCGCAAATATGGGGTAATTTTTCTGATTTCTCCCTATATTTGTGTGTTTTTTAATGGACTGTATGAATAGATTTTACTGGTTTGGGTATTCAAACTGCGACACCACATTTAAGAGTTTATTACAATATTATTCTGCATACAACGAACAAGTTGTTACGAAAACACAGGCACAACAATGCTGGAATAAGTCAAGTATGAGGCTGCTTGCTTTCCTTACTAACACCCCGAGATAATAACTTTTAAATTCTATTTTACTGAGAAATATGAAACACCGGCCGGTCAACGCCCACAAAGTGCGGGAAACTCACATTATCACCAGCACACCCTTCTCACCTTAAGTCAAGATTGCTCATAGAAATAATATAGAAGACCAATATAAATATAACATTTAAGCAAAAATTGAAACATACTGTGCATAAAAACGCGTCTCTGCGCCTGACATCGCAAAATAGTGTGTCTAGAGGCTTGGGCAGTATGCATGACGTCCCTGTAGTGTTGCCAAGTATATTAAACATACTTAACACAAAAGAATTTCAAATTAATTTATTTTTAAATTATATGATTTAAACAGTTTATATCTACGAAATATCGCCACAAAATAATTAATAAACATTTAAATAATCAACTAATAATATTTATGTGTAATTACATTCCCAAAAATATATACAAATACGGTATTAATGTTCAACAAGCGATTCACCTACAAATTCAATAGTGACCTGGCAACACCACTTAAATCTGGTGTTTCAAGGCTATATTAGGCTGCCCTTACAGGACCGTTTGTAATATTTTGGCTTGCATTTGTGTTTTATTATTTAATTACATGATGAAAGTGGCATTTTATTTTTAGTTTTGTGTAGTGTTAAGTTAAATTCTAGGTACAATAAAAGACAATTTTACATTGGCTAATGAAAATGAAATCAATGTATTTAGCAGCTGTTATATTTATGACAAGATTTTAAAAAACCTACTTTAAAAATGAAAATTATAATGATTTTCTCATGAATCCCATCTTCAGATCTTGACTAAATGTATAAAGAACTACACACACAAAAAAAATGCTCCATTTAAATCAATTTGATTTGATTTAAGACCAGTTGTGATTTGTATATAACGAAGGAAATATTTTCTTCCCGAAAAAAAAAAAAATGATATGCTTGTATATTTTTTTTTTTTGAAACAAAGGAATAAGTTTTTTACTTTCCTATCTGTATACAGATATAAGGAAAGTATAGGAATCATGATTTTTTTCGACCTCGAGTTTTCGACGGATTTTTACGTTTTGAGGTCCCCTGAATCCGTTTTGACTATTTTTGTGTGTGTGTGTGTGTGTGTGTGTGTGTGTGTGTGTGTGTGTGTGTGTGTGTGTGTGTGTGTGTGTGTGTGTGTGTGTGTGTGTGTGTGTGTGTGTGTGTGTGTGTGTGTGTGTGTGTGTGTGTGTGTGTGTGTGTGTGTGTGTGTGTGTGTGTGTGTGTGTGTGTGTGTGTGTGTGTGTGTGTGTGTGTGTGTGTGTGTGTGTGTGTGTGTGTGTGTGTGTGTGTGTGTGTGTGTGTGTGTGTGTGTGTGTGTGTGTGTGTGTGTGTGTGTGTGTGTGTGTGTGTGTGTGTGTGTGTGTGTGTGTGTGTGTGTGTGTGTGTGTGTGTGTGTGTGTGTGTGTGTGTGTGTGTGTGTGTGTGTGTGTGTGTGTGTGTGTGTGTGTGTGTGTGTGTGTGTGTGTGTGTGTGTGTGTGTGTGTGTGTGTGTGTGTGTGTGTGTGTGTGTGTGTGTGTGTGTGTGTGTGTGTGTGTGTGTGTGTGTGTGTGTGTGTGTGTGTGTGTGTGTGTGTGTGTGTGTGTGTGTGTGTGTGTGTGTGTGTGTGTGTGTGTGTGTGTGTGTGTGTGTGTGTGTGTGTGTGTGTGTGTGTGTGTGTGTGTGTGTGTGTGTGTGTGTGTGTGTGTGTGTGTGTGTGTGTGTGTGTGTGTGTGTGTGTGTGTGTGTGTGTGTGTGTGTGTGTGTGTGTGTGTGTGTGTGTGTGTGTGTGTGTGTGTGTGTGTGTGTGTGTGTGTGTGTGTGTGTGTGTGTGTGTGTGTGTGTGTGTGTGTGTGTGTGTGTGTGTGTGTGTGTGTGTGTGTGTGTGTGTGTGTGTGTGTGTGTGTGTGTGTGTTTGTGTGTGTGTGTGTGTGTGTGTAACGCATAACTCATGAACCGATACACGGAAAAACACCAAATTTTAAACTTAAGCTTTGTTCCAGCGTCTAATGAGCTGATTAGATTTTGGGCAGAGTCGGAACATCTGGGGGGTACTTTATAGGTGGTCATTTTTATATTTTATGGAATATATCTGTTATTTACGTTTGGGGAAGAAAATTCTTCAAATGAAAGTTACTTCTTATTTTATTATCTATAATTTTTGTTATATACAAAATTTTCCTAAAATGGTCCGTATTCGCGAAATTTGACAAAATGTAAAAAAATATTTTTTTTATAAAAATTGTTCAAACAAAAGTTGTTTGTAATATAATTCTCTATAATTTTTATTCTATAGATAATTTCTCTAAAATGGACCGTATTCGAGATATTTGAGAAAATGTGTAAATTTCGAAATTTGAAGAAAACTCAAAAACGGATAAAGAAAAAAACATTAAATTTTAAACTTAAGTTTTATTTCGGCCTGACGTGAAATGATTAGATTTTGGACAAAGTCGGAACATCTGGGGGGGGGTACTTTATGGGAGGCCGTTTTTATATTTTATGGAATATATCTGTTATTTATGTTTGGAGAAAAAAATTGTTCAAATAAAAGTTACTTCTAATATTATTATCTATAATTTTTGCTTTATGTAAAAATTTCCTGAAATGGTCCGTATTCGAAAAATTTGACAAAATGTGCAAAATTCTGATTTTTATGAAAATTGTTGAAATAAAAGTTGTTTGCGATATCGATCTCTATAATATTTGTTCATACATTTTTTTAAAATGGACCGTAATGGAAAAATTGTAGGAAAAGTGCTTAATTTAAATTTTTCAGTATTTTCATTTTCAATGAATATCTATAGAAAAACGTTTCGCGGTAGATGTATGTGGACAATGTATATATTTAGTTTATCCTCTAAACATTTATAGAGATGCTGCAATAGGTTGTACAAAATAACCGGAAAACGCCTGTAATAACTAGATAGGAAAGTCATGTGTTGGACACATCAGATTTTTTATTAAAGAATATGCATGCGATTAAACGAAAATAAATTGATTTATTTTAAGAAAAAGTACTTATTAGAATATAAAACCGTTATTTATATGTGATTTTTCTTTATTTAAACATTGCCGTGTTTTGAATTAAGAGTAATTTGCTTTATTCAAAAATATGTCTTGAGAATAATTATGTCTACACTAAAATCAGAGTCAAATTTTTTAAGTAATAATAATATCTTTAATTAAGAAATTATGTATTTATTTAAAGAAAATATCTTTAAGAAATAT